GACACTAACATAGTAATCAAGTAACACTTAAGTGTTGTCGTTCCTACTGTCCTCTTAATAGTATATTCATGCCACCAACTCATCTCTACTACTACTACTTTTACTAATAATAATAATAATAAAAATAATAATAATAATAATTTCTTTCCCAAAACTGTACAGGATATTTTAAAAAATATTAGACCCAAGTGATACACAGTAGTCCTGCGGGCTTTCCTCTTCTCAAGAAACTTGCATGGATATTAAGTAATAACAGATATTAGCTATTCATGCTAAGTGAATAAATGTAACTATAATTTCCCAAGGAACTGGCAGACACAAGATCCGGGGAGCTAATAAATACCTAATTTGAAAAGATTTTACTACTACGAGAATAACAACCCACCAACTGATAATACTTGTGGGATTTTATAAACCCAGGGCGCTCGTTACAAAAAAATATTACAGAGGAACTGCAAAACGCCGACAGTATGGTGAGTGAACACTCGGTATAATGATCTCGATTTAACGGATTTAAAAAATACGGGGCAAAATCCGCTGGGACAGTTTATTCGGAATCACCGGACAATAAACATCTGTTGATGACATTCTTGTTACTGTTACCATTAAGGCAAAACAATCTTTTGTCTGTCGTTTACAATTGCCATTACTAACCACCTGCTTTCCTCTAATGTTCGTTTTACCGAGAGGTTTGTAAAACATTTCGCCAGTTTATGATCAGCGATCAGCGTCTACGATAAAAATTATGACACGAACGAAAATGAAACACTGAGACGCCGTATCGGAGAGAATTAATACAATATATGTTTCGGTGGTGGCAGCAGGTAGTATGTTACATTAAAGATTTTGTGGTTCACTCAAATTGACCTTATTATATCAATATTGCAAATAACATTTAATTAGTTCTCTATTTTACTTTATTGTATTTCAATATTGCTATAATATAAACTTTTCAATGAGGTTATATTATTAACCTACTTTGTTCCGGATCTTTGCCCCCATCCTAACGTATCTGCACATTATATTTTGCTTTATATATGATGACAAATTAGACACATGTGCAACACTTGGTATCTTTAATGAGGAAACGTTTCGCCACACAGTGGATTCATCAGTCCATACAAAGGAGAATGGTGAAAAACAGGATTACCTCAAACTCCTCCTGTTCTTCACCATTCTCCTTTGTATGGACTGATGCAGCCACTGTGTGGCGAAACGTTTCCTCATTAAAGATGCTCAAGTGTTGCACATCTGTCTAATTTGTCAACTTGTCAGTTCTCTGAACCATTCATCTACATTTATATATGATACCTACGAATATAGACAATGATCATTATGAACACAGACACCTAGCTGATGTCTTTGGTTATGCTGGATACTTCCTGTACTTCCCTCTGAGTGTGGAAGTTATAGTATAATACTGGTGTCCGCCTAGCACTAGGCTCACTCACACACATCCATTTTCAGACAGCTTTCGAATTACACTCGACTTCAGTCTGAGTGTCACACCTTTAAGATTTTCAAACTAATAGCGAATTTGGGCTCATACGTCTATTTCGACAAGTGTTGTAAATTTTGAGTGACCTATCAAGTTTAACCACGGCAAGCGTAATAAAACCCACTGTCTAGGTTAGGTTAGGTAAGGTTCGTCAGGAAACAGGACAAGTGTTTCCTGACGCGAGTCTTAGTAAGATGATGACCCGCCTTTGGAGCTTTGGTCATCTGACCGAGGCCTTCCGCTGGCTTACCGGTCCACCCCTTTAAAAATAATATAATTATATGTACCCACTATCTGTTACAGGAACACTCCTTTTCTCACAAACTCTATTCAGGCTTCTCTCGTTCTTATTCTCTTCTGCCCCTGCATCCCTTTCATTGGGGCACATTGCTGCTTAGAGGAGCTTAGGGCCAAGACTTATCCCTCATTAACATGTAAACTTCAAACAATTAGTCACCGATCTAACTTTCTATCTTTTTAAAAGACATTCTAGATTGTCAACACCTCGCCTCGATCTGCTCAAGTCCTTTAACTGGGAACATGTATGCAATAAAGGTTTCTCGACTTTTATGCAATCTGTCGTATCATATAGCTTAATTAATCTCACATATAATCTTGAGAAATATAGGAAATAAAATATGCATTATATTTTCCACAAGTTCTGCTCTGATATGTGTGAATAAACACATAGAGGACCAAACGTATGAAAAATCCCAAAATACATCCAGTGAGCAGCAGTTCTGTAGTCGACAACGCCTTGTTAATGAGAGAGGTCACAGGAGAATAGCCAGACTGGTTTCAGCCGACAGGAAGGCGACAGTAACAAGAATAAAGCATTCTCCATTTACTTTCCAGTATGCTCTTAATATTGTAAGACAAACTATATTATTTAAACTGGATTTTAAATTCTGCTGCTTGAGTGGTTAGTTTATAGTGTATTCTATATTCTTCCTGCGGACGGTAACACGAGAGAGTATTGGTACACACAAGCCTAGGACCTACGCCCTACAAAGGTTAACATTTTTACAATTACAAGTAAATTTAGGATGCTTGCTTAAAATTTATGGTACCTTATGTTTTATTAATAAGATACTTTGACATACCAAATAGGTTACTGTACTATCTCTATATTGTTCAATAAGTGAACAGTGAAGCACATAGTGTTCAACAAAGCCACCATAAGCGTGACTACATACTTCTCACTTAGTTTGATCATCATCTGTGTGTATGTCAGTGTCAGAAGCATTGTAAGTTATAACCAAGTCTAAGCGTTTATACACACGTTAAACTGCAAATCTGTTTACCTACATTTAGACTATTATAGTGGATTATAGATCTACTCAGGCTTCTCGAACTGCATTCCTATGATATTTACAATCATTATTTGCTTCTCTCCTAACAGTATTTCAAATAATTGACACAGACAAAGTAACATTCGATTTCATCGTTCAAGATAACTTCTTTCGTTAATTTATCTACTTTATCGAGCAGGAATAATTCAGTGCTAGATAGAACTCATAAGAAATACAGTGAGTTCTTTTTCTGTGTATGGTTAATATCTGTACCTGGCTACTGCTCCAGTCAGCATGTTGCTGCTCATTATAGGAAGCTAGTAAAAAATATTATTAACATATAAAACCCTTTTGTTATGTAAGAATAGAACTTAGTGATCTATGGCAGCTATAAGTGTGTGACTAATTAATGGTCCAAGTTGGACCGAAACGTCGTCATAAGTTTCTTTCTCCTATGTGAGGGTTATTTGTGTATTGTTCCAGTCACGGTATTGTGCCTCTTTATTTTTTAAGTTGTATATGACTTGTTGGAGATCACGTAACACGTGGCCTGGTGGCTAAAGCTCCCGCTTCACACACGGAGGGCCCGGGTTCGATTCCCGGCGGGTGGAAACATTTCGACACGTTTCCTTACACCTGTTGTCCTGTTCACCTAGCAGCAAATAGGTACCTGGGTGTTAGTCGACTGGTGTGGGTCGCATCCTGGGGGACAAGATTAAGGACCCCAATGGAAATAAGTTAGACAGTCCTCGATGACGCACTGACTTTCTTGGGTTATCCTGGGTGGCTAACCCTCCGGGGTTAAAAATCCGAACGAAATCTTATCTTATCTTAACTTAAGAACATGATGATAGTTTCTAACATTCATCTATGTTTGAGAGTGAGAATTTAACTTAACCATCTTCTTCCCTGAACTCTGACCTTTTTGTGCCCAGACTGTATTTTTAAGATATTTTTAGTAAGCTCCAAGAGTGTGTATATTACTACGTTCCAAAGTTGTTGCGGGAAACAGACGTAATGTTGACTCTGGGTGAGTGCTCGTTAGTGCTCTTAAAATACCACAAACATCCATGTTTTTCCGAGGATATCTTTCATCTGTTCTTGGGCATCTTTTTCTAATGGTTTGTGAGTGATATAGAATCTTTTTTACCCAAAAATAAATCAAAGGTGTTTTAAATAAAAATCGTATAGACTTAATGGCTTGATCAATGAGGTTGTTGGTGCTCGCAGTCAGACGTTGTGAGGCATGCTTCTTAGTATAATATACATTGAATATACAGTATATAGAATGTATACTCACAGCGTAGGCACCACAGCCTGACTGATGACGTTTATATAATACAAACAAATTTTCAGGCGTAATAAAAAGGTGATTTCAAAGTCTGAAAGTAATTACTCAAAAGATTCCAATATTCAGCACAAACATTAAAAAAAAAGATTGACAGCTTTCTCAAAGTAAACAATTAACGTGTTTTCTGGAGCCACACCCCTCAAGGAAGGCTCCTTGACGCTGGTGAGGGGCTCTTGATCTAGGGAATTGGATCTGTGCTCCAGTTCCCTGAATTAAGCCTGAATGCCTTCCATCCCCCCATAGGCGCTGTATAATCCTACGGGTTTAGTGCTTCCCCCTTGATTATAATAATAATAATAATCTGGAGCCACAGTCCTTGTTTGCAACGAGAAATTAATTATTTAATTGGTGAAACACTAAACCAATGTGGGTTATTCAATGTAAAAAGTGGTGGAAGCTCGATCCTCCGTTCAAGGCTTCGCTACCTCTCCCTCAAAGGCAGAGTAAATGTCAGTGACAAACAAACACTGCCAGTAGTGACCACACCTGGACACAGTGAGGCCATTCCATGAACTGAATAATTTTTATACACAGGTAATTTGTTCAGACTAGTAGCTCTTATACTGCCTCCTGTCCTACCTCATGGTACACTTCCACCCCAACATGTCACCCACAATATATACTTTCTGTCTCGTGAACAAGTAAAACAAGAGGTAAACCTTATAAACTTCTACTTACTGTTAGTTATACTTTACTTTTCTGTGTATTTCTTAATAGTTGTTATTTCTGTAATATTTCCCTCTCAGTTTAGAAGGTCTGGTCTGAGCCCGGGTCGTGGAGCGACGACCCCTGCAACTATTAGCAGCTCACACATGTTGCTGCATTACACATGTCTTAAACGTGTCAATTTACTTTGCAGAGCCAGGAGAGTGCCTCACCGTAGCTGTCAAAGAGCGCTGTCGTAACCTCTTTGAGCGCCGCGGCCGCAGGAAGAACTATGCTCGGAGATGTGAGATCAACCTGCCGCCCTTGGTGGTACGAGAGCAAGACGCCCTTCTGCATATATCCTCCTCGCAGGGCCCCAGGCTGAGCCAGGGACCCCTGCAACGTCTAGTGTGTAGAGACGATGCCCCAGGGTACGCCCCATGTGCTCGCCTCAGACCTCTAAACGATACCAACCATCTCGTCTGTGACCCTCTAGGTCAGAACCATCTCTGGCTCTTCCAGTTGTGTTTCATTTACATTCTCAAAGTTAACCTTCATGCCTGCAAAATTTATCTTATTATTAAATATTTATAAATAGTACTAATACAACTAATAATAACTAAATGTATTAGGTCATTGCACGATCCAAGAAAGGTATCCTCAAATCTTATAAGTTCAGCCTCCTCTACCTCAATGCAGACAAAATAAATAATGTAGAGTGTGGCATAAGTTTCTCAATATCAGTATTAAAGATTTAAAGCCAATCAGCAGAGACATTCACACGTTACTGCATGAAAAATATTATCTTAAGTATTTTAATATATATGTCAGATTGGCAAATACACAGCACAATACAACTGCAATAGGTAACATACGCCAACTTTAAAGTTTTAAAGGCAATCACAAGAGACGTCGTTTTCTAGTTATGGCACAAAGACCAACATCCAAATTAGTTTAAGAAAAAAGCTTGGCATATTAAGACGTACACAGCCCAGTAACAACATAAACCAAAGACAATATTAAGACGTACACAGCCCAGTAACAACATAAACCAAAGACAATATCACCAAATACACCAGCACTTGAAGTTTGAAGTTGTTCACAAGTTATATACTCACTTTTTAGGCGCTGAAGGTTTTAAGTCGATCCCAGCAATTCCAGGAGCAGCTTGAGAAAATTGACCACTGTCTGGCAAATCTCCCAACTCCTGCCCCAAACATCTTACTACTAGGAGATTTCAGCTTGAGACACCTAAAATGGAGGAGTATAGTCAACAATGCTTTAGCAGAAATCACCCCGGGAGGAAGCTCAGATGAAAATTCACACACACACAAACTATTAAATCTCTTTACCAAATTCACCTTAAACCAGCAAATAGTAGAGCCTACAAGACTAGAAAATATGCTCCCCACCATCCTCCCTAACAACGACGATCTAATTGTAATATAACCATATCAAAGACAATACACCAAGATCACAACATAATAGAGGTACAGACATGTATGCACAGGGCTCCGGACCAGCAAAATGTGAGCAGTCATGAAGGTCTCTTCACGAAATTCAAATTCAATAACAAAAACATACAATGGGATCAAGTAAACCATGTCCTAAATGAAACGAGCTGGAAAGATATCCTAAACAACACGGATCCGAACATTTGCCTTGAAAAAATGAATTCTGTGGTTCTGGAAATCTGCTCAAGACACATTCCATTAAGAAAAAGAAAGAGGAGATGTAAACTAGAAAGAGAGAGATGCTACCTATACAGACGAAGGCGAAGAGTCACAGAGCTACTGAGTGGGGCCAATATATCTGAAATACAAAGGGAGGCACTAGTCAGTGAAATTGTAAATATTGAACTTAAGCTGAAGGAATCTTACAGGAGAGAAGAATCACAGGAAAAACTAAAAGCCATAAAGGAAGTTGAAAAAAAAATACTTCCTCTCTTATGCCAAATCAGTGAAATTGTAAATATTGAACTTAAGCTAAAGGAATCTTACAGGAGAGAAGAATCACAGGATAAACTAAAAGCCATAAAGGAAATTGAAAAAAAAAAATACTTCTTCTCTTATGCCAAATCTAAGGCAAAAACAACATCCAGTAGAGGGGCCCCTGCTTATTCGGAATGGGACATACACAGATGACAGCCAAGGAATGAGTGAGATACTAAAGTCCCAATATGACTCAGTGTTCAGTGAGCCACTGCCCAGACTAAGGGTCGACAATCCAAATGAGCTCTTTATGAACGAAACCCAAAATCTGGTCATCCCTTAAATCTCGGATATTATCCTAACTCCACAAAACTTTGAAGAGGCAATAAATGACATGTCCATGCGCTCTGCCCCAGGCCCAGACTCACGGAACTCGTGTTCATCAAGAATTGCAAGAAGCCCCTAGCACGTGCCTTCAGCATTTTATGGAGAGGGAGCATGGACACAGGGGTCATCCCATACACACTAAAAACAACAGACATAACCCCACTCCACAAAGGTGGCAGTAAAGCAATTGCAAAGAACTACAGACCGATAGCACTAACATCCCATATCATAAAAATCTTTGAGAGTGTTTTAAGAAGCAAGATCGCCAACCACCTAGATACCCATCAGTTACACAACCCAGGGCAACACGGGTTTAGAGCAGGTCGCCCCTGCCTGTCCCAGCTACTGGACAACTATGACAAGGTCCTGGATGCTGTAGAGGATAAACAAAATACAGATATAGTATAAACAGACTTTGCAAAAGCTTTCGATAAGTGTGACCATGATGTAATAGCACACAAAATGCGTGATAAAGGAATAACGGGAAAAGTTGGTAGATGGATTTATAATTTCCTGACAAATAGAACACAAAGATTAATAGTAAACAGAGTAAAGTCCCAGGCAGCCATGGTAAAAAGTTCTGTTCCACAAGGCACAGTACTCGCTCCCATTCTATTCCTCATCGTCATTTCTGACATAGAGATGTAAGCCATAGCTGCGTGTCTTCCTTTGCGGATGACACCTGGATCACCATGGCAGTGACCTCCATCGAAGACACTGAGAGACTCCAAGCGGACATCAACCAAATCTTCGAATGGGCCACTGAAAACAATATGAAGTTCAATGAGGAGAAATTTCAACTACTCAGATATGGGAAACTTGAGGAAATTAAAAATGTATCAGGGTATACGACAAATTCTAACCATACAATAGAGTGGAGAAGAAATGTGAAGGACCTGGGAGTGATAAAGTCAGAGGATCTCTCCTTCGAAGACCACAACACTGTATCTACCTCATCTGCTAGAAAAATGATAGGATGGATAATGAGAACCTTCAAAACTAGGGACGCCATGCCCATGATGATTCTCTTCAAATCGTTTGTTTTCTCTAGGCTGGAATAGTACTGTACACTTACTGCCCCCTTCAAGGCTGGCGATATTGCAGACCTGGAGAGTGTACAAAGAACTTTCACAGCACACATAAGTATGATAAGGCACCTAAATTACTGGGAACGGTTGAAGGTCCTTGATCTGTATTCCTGGAACGCAGGTGAGAGAGATACATGATAATATACACTTGGAAGGTCCTGGAGGGATCGGTACCAAACCTACACACGAAAATCACTCCTTATGAAAGCAAAAGACTCGGCAGGAGATGCAACATTCCCCTGATGAAAAGCAGGGGCGCCACGAGTACATTGAGAGACAACACAATAAGTGTCCGGGGCCCAAGACTTCCTCCCAGCATACATAAGGGGGATTACCAATAGACCCCTGGTTGTCTTTAAGAAGTCACTGGACAGGCACCTAAATTCAGTACCTGACCAACCGCGCTGTGGTTCGTACGTCAGCTTGCGTGCGGCTAGAAGTAACAGCCTGGTTGATCAGACCCTGATGCACCATGAGGCCTGGTCTCAGACCGAGCCGCGGCGGCGTTGACCCCCGAAAACTTCTCCAGGTAAACTCCAGGTAAGAGGCTTTCTCAAGCTATTGCAAGGAACGAAATCTAGAAATGGATTGTATAAAATCTACCAGAGGGTACTTGTACATGCTGACAGGTGCAGGGACCTTTTCCTGATTCCTGTACACCAGTGTTTAACATCTGAAGCCGAATGGAAACCTTAGAATTATTAAGCATATAATATATATATATATATATATATATATATATATATATATATATATATAATATATATATATATATATAATATATATATATATATACATATATATATTTCAACAAGTCGGCTGTGGCATGCAAAGAGTACGAAACCTTTATTCGGCGCATGTACACACCCTCATTTACAGGCTATCTCCCCCAACCAGCGAACCAGGTTGCTAAGAGTTGATGATGGGGCCCCGTCGTTCAACTAGTGACCAGGTTCTAGCCAGTAAGAAGATGGTTTTGGCAATCGCAGAGGTTATGTGGGTACCACTCTCCTGTCTGCCCTTGTCATTCCCATTCTAGAGCTGGTTGAAGCACGGTCTGCTATCTTGTGGCTTCTATTTCTGCCTTGCTTACCGTGGAGTGCACTATACTTATCACTGTACATAGTGTACATATTGCTGTTCTAAATTGGTGAAGGATAATATAAGTCTAAACTTTTTCTGCTGTGTTTATTTTGCTCCCATTACACCCGGGATAACAGGCCATTTGGATTCCTGGGTTGTAATATGGGTAGCCTGTCCGAGAGCTGGAGCTGGACTTAGAGAAACGGTTGAGCTTAGGGTGAAGCTCGTAGCAGGAACATTGTGCAGCTTACTGTCTGGCTTTGCATTAGCTTTGCCTACGCTTTACAAATTTTGTGTGTCAGTTGCTTTATGGTCAGCCTTGCTATTGTGTGATCGTTCAACAGCTCGCTACTAGCTTGTTCGGTGTGCTCGCTTCGCTACGGTCAATCTTCTAGAACAGTGTAGCTGTCTGGCATTGCTTTACAAATTTTGCGTGTCAGTTGTTACTAGCCTGTTCGGTGTGGAGAATTTTGCAGTCAGCTTTGCTTGTATGCGTATTCTGCAATCGTACTGTGCATAGCTAAGCGTGTTCTGCAAATTAACGTGTTACGTTGGGGTATTCTGCAATCGTGCTGTGCATAGCGAATAACTTATGCCACCTAGACGAGTCAGACGTCTGGTGTCGGCATATACTTTGCATAACCTACCTAAATTGTCCCTACAGCGTTGTTGGCAAATTGCTCGTTCCATTGGCATTAAATACAAACGCACTCTCACAGCTGCGCAACTGCGTTCACTGATTGCTGACAAACTTATAGAAGAAGAGATGGCACATCAGACTCCTCTCTCTACGGGAGCTAGGGCAAAAACTACTATGTTCTCGCAGGAGGAAGATGATACACCTACGGAGCAAAATGGTCAGTATAGTGCAGCTGGGTTGTCTCAAGGTGAATCAGCGTCGTTGGCACTTGAGCTGGCAAAAATCAATCTTGAGCAAACTAGGGAACAGAGAGCATTCGCAAGGGAAGAATTTGATAGGGAAAGAGAAAGGAGGCAGTTTTCGCATTCTGTAAATGATTTTAGTTTACAAAAAGCAGTACAGCTTGTTCCCCGCTTCAATGAGGCCGAACCAGAACAATTTTTCGAAAGCTTCGAAAATCAGGCTCGAGCCTTGAGGTGGCCGGAACAGCATTGGGCATGGTTGGTTCATACAACATTATTGGGTAAGGCACAGGAATTTGCGTCAGCATTAAATGACGCTGAATTTTCTGATTATAAAGTAGTGAAGACCACAGTGTTGGGAGCATATACATGTATCCCAGCCAAATATAGAAAGATTTTTAAATTAAGCAGGCGGCAGCTTGGTCAATCCCTAGTGGACTTTGTGAGACAGCAAACCAAAGCTTTTACCAGCTGGTATAAAGCAAGTGGTGTCTCTACCTTTGAGGAGCTGGTACAGCTTATTCTGATTGATAACCTGCTGGAGTCTGTGGGACCAGAGGTTCGAGTCTTTCTGCAGGATCGTGACTTAACCACTGCATTGGAGGCAGCCAGGTTGGCTGATACCTTCGAAACTAACCGCTCCTTGTCCGAGCGGTCCCGTCTCTCTTTTCAACAGCCCTGGCATGAGCAGAGATCGTCAACCTTGGAGATTATCCAGTTCCTCATGATAGGAAATCTCTTCAACGTTTCCTAGGCATGATAGGATTTTACAGAAGATTCTGTAAGAATTTCTCAGATATTGTAGCCCCTCTTACCTCTCTTACCAGTCACAAAGTTCCCTTTAATTGGACCTCAGACTGTAACACTGCTTTTAATAAAGCAAAAAGAATATTGTGTACTGCACCCATTCTCTTGTCTCCAGACTTCTCCAAACCTTTTTCATTACAGGTTGATGCTTGTGAGTCTGGGGTTGGGGCAGTACTATTACAAAACGAGAATGAGGAGTTGCAGCCTGTAGCATACTTTTCAGCCAAGTTCCAGCCACATCAGAGGGCTTACTCTACCATTGAAAAAGAAGCCCTCTCGCTGGTACTGGCTTTGGAGCATTTCGATGTTTGTGGGCCAGACATCGCAGGTGGTCAGTCTACAGTGATCACAATCCTCTAGTATATCTCCAAGCCATGAAGAACCACAACACAAGGCTCATGCGCTGGACGCTAAGACTGCAACCATACTCACTCAGAATTAAATATATTGCCGGCAAAGAAAATGTGTTGGCGGACTCTTTATCTAGAGTCTAATATTTTTATTTATTTAGGTTAGGATGTTATATTTGTGGTAACCCCTTTTCACGCTCTTTTTTTTTTTATCTCCTGGTGTGGGTTTTTTTTTTTAGTGAGGGGATGCGGGCTACCGTCCGCCTGTATCTTGGACCTATGCTAGCCTGACTGACTGCTGTCTCACTTTGAGTTTAGAGTTTGGCTTTTTGTCACGAGAAAAGCTGAGCTCTATCTAAGAGTTGGATGGTGGAGAGGAAAGGCGGTCCCATTATTTTGTGCCATGGCGGCACGGTTAGCACTGGGAGGTGGCAGCCTAATCCTGAGCCTTCTCGGGGTGAGGGTGTGGCATGCAAAGAGTACGTAACCTTTATTCGGCGCATGTACACACCCTCATTTACAGGCTATCTCCCCCAACCAGCGAACCAGGTTGCTAAGAGTTGATGATGGGGCCCCGTCGTTCAACTAGTGACCAGGTTCTAGCCAATAAGAAGATGGTTTTGGCAATGGCAGAGGTTATGTGGGTACCACTCTCCTGTCTGCCCTTGTCATTCCCATTCTAGAGCTGGTTGAAGCATGGTCTGCTATCTTGTGGTTTCTATTTCTGCCTTGCTTACCGTGGAGTGCACTATACTTATCACTGTACATAGTGTACATATTGCTGTTCTAAATTGGTGAAGGATAATATAAGTCTAAACTTGTTCTGCTGTGTTTATTTTGCTCCCATTACACCCGGGATAACAGGCCATTTGGATTCCTGGGTTGTAACATCGGCCGTCTCCCACCGAGGCAGGGTGACCTAAAAAAGAAAGAAAATCCCCAAAAAGAAAATATTTTCATCATCATTCAACACTTTCACCACACTCGCACATTATCACTGTTTTTGCAGAGGTGCTCAGAATAAAACAGTTTAGAAGCATATACGTATAAAGATACACAACATATCCCTCCAAACTGCCAATATCCCGAACCCCTCCTTTAAATGCAGCATTCGTACTCCGGTTCCAGACTAAGTCCATTTCCGTTCCTAATTCCCTTCCTAATAACCGCTCACAGCACCTCTGAAGTCCAAGTTGCCCCAAGACTCCATACTCTCTCCATCACCTATCGAACACCCTACCCGCTTCTATCCCATAGACCTTGCTTCCATTAAAATCTTTATTATATCTTTCATAATATCTTCCTTTATAATATATATATATATATATATATATATATATATATATATATATATATATATATATTATATATATATATATATGAGTAAGATACGATCTTTCACTGCAGCCTTGCAAGTAGGTCTCATCCATGCTTGACTGGTTCTACATATCTGACCATGTATTTGTCTAACCTATTTTTAAGCTACCTAAATAAATAAATGGCTTTAATTTGGTGTTGTGGTCGTCCTTCAGGAGTGAACAGCAAGAGGTGTTCGTCCCGACACGACACGGTACACACACGGTGTCGCTTGTTCGAGGTGTGTGACCAAGCAGTGGTGGTGTCGGGAGGCTGGAACAGAGACCTCTCCCCGGACGACACCAGGAGAGCCCTGGCTGACACCTACCACATGCTCAGACACAACGGCTTTCATAAGGGAAACATCAAGTTATTCTATGCTAATGGTGCAAGGAAAGACGCAGGTCAGTGTCTGCTAGTTTTAGTGTAAGTACCAGTATTAATTGTATTATAGGGCGTGGCATAAATATTCTTTCTTGTAAATAAAGAAATAATGTTAAACTTATAGTGTTCCAACTTATGGATTTTATAAATCATATATAAATTTAAGGTTATCTTTATTAACGGTATCTTTATTAACGAAATGTTTCGCCTGCGCATTATTCTTTAGTTGCATACAGAAAAGACTTTCCATTTCTACTGTCTTCATAATGAAGACAGTAGAAGTAGAGAGGTAATTTTCAGTTGTTCGGCTCGTTATCCTTGAAGAATTGATAGGTGTTCAGTCCCTTAGCCTCGAGTGTTACTGGGCCGGATTAAGGTCTGGGTACACAAATAACCCGCACATAAAAGAGAGAAGCTTACGACGACGTTTCGGTCCGACTTGGACCATTGACAAAGTCACACTTTGTCAATGATCCAAGTCGGACCGAAACGTCGTCGTAAGCTTCTCTCTTTTATGTGCGGGTTATTTGTGTATCGTTCCAGTCAGTGTATTGTGCCTTTTTGTTATTTAAGGTCTGGGCTTCAGGGGCTGCCACCCAGGGTCCTCCAGGGATTAAGGGAAGAGTGTTCAGAGTTACTGATGCTTTATTTTAATTGTGGTTACCTTTGTAAAAATAAATTTATTATTTCCTTTATTTTTTTCCTTTTGAAAGTATCGCTGGGAAGCTCAGGGCGCCTGTAGCCCAGGGGTCTACAAAATCTTAATCCGGCTCTGAGTGTTGCACGTCTTATTCATCAGCTTGCCGGTATTGTTGCTGTATAATCCTCCGAGTTTAGCGCTTCCCCTTGATTATAATAATAATAATAATAATTGCCGGTATTGTAAATTATTAATATATATTAATTCTATAAGATCAAGGTTCCCGTGGTTAAGACTTCCACTACCTCCTTTCCCAGCCACTTGTACATATACATAACTATTTTTAAGAAGTTCTTCCAGTCTCTTAATACATTTTTTTCCCCAGTAATTTTATATTGTAGTTCTTGTTCTACTTGTTTATGACTTAAACAATGTTCCATGTTCAGTTTTTCATATTATTTTGTAAATATATCTGTGAATGGAAAGTTTTCCTCTGTTGTCTTTCTCCACACTTCACCTTACTGTACAATACTTCTTGTTATAGTTCTCGAGACCTTATATATTTATTCACTATGTTTTGCGATGAAATTTAACAGGTTCCTACAAAAAAAGTTCTCATAAGTTTGTTGTGTCCTATACGGACAGCACCAACAATCTGAATGACCAGCAACCATCTGCAGGTAGGTACAGCCACCATGGCACAACTGCACATCGCCCTTAACGTGTAATATATGTCGTGAACGTTAACTTAGCATTCTTTCATCAATATGTGTAGGTTATAAGCAAGTTTAACATCACAACATGACACATCACGTCAGGCACTGTCAGATACCGTCAGGCACTGTCAGATACCGTCAGGCACTGTCAGACACTGTGAGATACTTGCCAGTCAAGTACTTCTATGTTTCTCACGCCCCGGATGAAAGTCTCTCACTCTCCTGAGCATGACAATAACAATAATTTCACGAGACACTCAACCCGTCTGTGATATTCAGTACAATTAGTGGGAGAGGCTCGATTCTCCGACCACTAAAAACCAGTAGTATCAGGTTGTTGCTGATACTACTGGTATCAGCAACAACCTGACTGATCAGGCTGTTGCTGATACCAGTAGTAACAGATCCTGGGTGGTGATACACAGTAGCTTTCATGAAGAGTGGGATTTTCTGGTATTACTGAAAACTTGTTTTCACTGCATATTTCGACGTGTTGGAGCAGACTGAGGCGCTTTTTGATATACTGAAAGCTTTAGCTACAATAGGCGTATAAATAACTGAATCGATGTTATATTGTGCAGGAAGACATTTAGAGGTGTCTTTAACACTCCTAACTGATACGAAACCCTTCTCTCACTTCTTCCCTCCCTCCCTCCCTCCCTCCCTCCCTCTCTCCCTCCCTCTCTCCCTCCCTTCCTCCCTCTCTCCCTCTCTCCATCACCACCAAGGAACATGTCTCCCTCCCTCCCTCCTTCCCTCCCTCCATCACACAAAGAAGTCTTCAGTTTACTTCCTAGAAAGGACAAAATTATAGTCCCTCCTGACATCACCTCGTTTCACAATTTCTCAGAATATGAATTATGTGGAAAATACTCAAATAACTGTGACTTTGGATTGATGTACGAAGAGGAGAGTCCTTATGCTGGATTACGGTCAATATATGTTGTATCCAGCTCACTGTGTTGTACATGGAAACGATAGATAGCAGATGACTTGGAAGTCCATAACGAGGCTATCTCCTAAGAACTATTTACTTCTGCCTGGATTAAGGCTTATATTATCGTGTATTATCTAATTGTATGATTCAAGGATAGAAAAGCAGATGTACTCGAATATCTAGTGATATAGAAACCATTTGCGATGATCTTGTCATATAAACAGTCAAAAGATGATCAGAGGTGAAGTAAACAGCAATGGTTAGCCAGTAGTTGCTTAATCACGGAGACCCAGCATTGGTAAGCCAGCGATACCCACTGATACCCACCCATACCCACCCACATATACACCCACACCCACCCACATATACACCCACAGATAAACACCCCCCCCACACATGCACACACACCCACCCACACTCATACCCACACTCACACCCACACTCGCACCCTGTGATTCATCTGAGTCTTCAACTTCCAACTGTGACCCCTTGTTGCTGTGTCCCATCTCTGGAACATCCCGGTCTCTGTCCACCTTGTCGATTCTTCTCAGTATTTTATATGTCGTTATCAAATCTTCTCTATCTCTCCTTTCCTCCAGTGTCGTCAGGTCGATTTCTTCAGTCATAAAGTTGTCAGGAAGTGGAATAGTCTGGTAAGTGAAATAGTAGAGACAGGATTAAGAAGAGGTATGATAAAACTCTTGGAGCAGGAAGAGTGACCTAGTAGTGGTCAGTGAAGAGGCGGGGCCAGGAGCTGTGACTCGACCCCTGCAACCACAACTAGGTGAGTACCCACACATACACACCCGAACACACACACACACACACACACACAACACACACACACACACCACACAGGGCCATGAGCTATGTCTCGACCCCTGCAACCACAATTAGGTGAGTACAGGAAGAGTGACCTAGTACCGGCCAATGAAGAGGCGGGGCCAGGAACTGTGACTCGACCCCACCCCTGCAACCACAACTAGGTGACTACAACTAGGTGAGTACACACACACACACACACACACACACACACACACACACACACACACACAATGTGTAAAACGCATACCGTAAACGACCTGATAGCACGGAAACAGACTGTTTTAGAGGCTGAAAACGGGTACACGAGAGCTAAAAGTTAAAGAGAGATGAGTCACAGAACTGTCATAACACATCACTTCAGCCTCGGGGTGGTCAGAAAGTGCAGTGACCTTGACAAAGAAGTGATACCTGGAGGTTACCTGGAGGTTATTCCGGGGATCAACGCCCCCGCGGCCCGGTCCATGACCATGGAGGCTGATTCTAAACACAGCTTTAAGGAAAGGTATGTTAGAGCCTACGAGGCTAGGAAGGAGTGAACCCAGTGGCGGCTAGTTGAAAGACGGGGTCAGGAACTGAGACTTGACCCCCTGTAACCACAAATAGGTGAGCACACACCGGGAGCTGCAGGAGCGTGGTGTTCCATCACAGGTAGTGTGGGCGTGGTGTGGGCGTGAGGTGGGTGGGGTAATGACACACCTGTGTGGAGTAATGAGAGGTGTGGGCGGGCCAATGAGAGGGCGGGAGCTGGGTAGCCCCGCCTACCTGCTCAACATCAAAGAGAGCGCCACCGCCCAGACAACACCTCACGAGGGCTCTAATTGAGCACATTGCCTCGTAATAGCCAAATCACCCTGTTGGTAACTTTTTCCAGCGGCTGCTGTTTCCGCTGCAGAGACTGGTCGTTTGGCAGGCGTCTGTGAACACAGCTGTGAACACAGCAGTAGACACAGCTGTAGACACGGCTGTAAGCACAGCTGTGAACAGATCTATAAAAGAGTTGTAAAAAATGTAAACACAGCTGTGAACAGAGCTGTAAACAGCTATAAATAGTTGTAAAAAATGTAAACAGAGCTGTGAACAAAGCTGTAACACGTGAGTTGATGGCAGGTGCAGCGTACAAGAGGGGCCCAAGTGTACTTACCTATTTGTGGTTGCAGGGGTCGATTCACAGCTCCTAGCCCAGCCTTTTCGTTGGTTGCTACTAGGTTCGCTCTCTCCCTGCTCCATAAGCTTTATCGTATCTCTTTTTAAAGCTATATATGGATCCTGCCTCCACTACATCAATCTCCAGATTCTTCCACTGCCTGATAACTCCATGACTGAAGATATACTTCCTAATATCCCTGTGACTCACCTGAGTCTTCAACTTCCAGTTGTTACCCCTTGTTGCAGTGTCCCATCTGAGCCATCCTGTCCTTATCCACCTTGGCAGCTAATCTCAGTATTTTATATGTCGTTATCACGTCGTCCCCGTCCTCTAATGCCGCCAGATCGATTTCCTTTAACCTTTTCTCAAAGGACATACCCCTTAGCTTCGGGACTAGCCTTGCTGCAAACCTTTACACTTTCTTTAATTTTTTGGTGTGCTTGACCAGGTGTGGGTTCCATACTGGTGCCACATACTCCAATATTGGCCTGACATACTCCTCAGTCAGGTGTCGAAACGCAATTCTCAGGTTTGCCAGGCGCCTATACGCTGCAACAGTTATTTGGCTGAGTGCACATCAGATGCGTTTGGTATAATACTCACCTTAAAAATTCTTTTCCTTGAGTAAGGTTTCAGCCTTTTGCCCCTAGCCTGTATTCCGTCTGCGGTTTTCTTTGCCATTCCCCAATCTTCATGAATTTGCACTTGGTGGGGTTAAACTCCAGGAGCCAGTTGTTGGATCAGGCTTGCAGCCT